GCTCTAAGTGGATCTTGAAGAACGTAAGATACGTGCCGAAGCTAAAGAAGAATCTTGTTTCGGTGGGATAATTTGGAGCAGAAGGTTATGTTTTGATATTCACAGGGGATTCGTGGAGAATCTCCAACGGTACGATGATAGTTGCTCGAGGCAACAAGCTAGGAACTCTCTACCTCACCTTACATGCGAGTGACACCCTCGCAATTGTAGCTGGCAAAGAGAGTACAGAAACTCTCTACCTCACCTTACATGCGAGTGACACCCTCGCAATTGTAGCTGGCAAAGAGAGTACAGATCTATGGCACAACAAGCTAGGGCACATGAGTGAAAAGGGGATGGAGATTTTGCATTCACAAGGAAAGCTAACCGGGATCGACGCCGTGGAAGTTAGGATTTGTGAAGACCGCATCTTTGGGAAGCAAAAGAGGATTAGTTTTCATAAGGGTGGAAGGTTACCTAAGGCTCAGAAGCTAGAGTTAATTCATACATATGTATGGGGTCCAGTCAGTGTGTCTTCTTTTGACGGTTCGAGATATTATGTCACCTTCATTGACGATCACTCGAGGAAGGTGTGGATCTACTTCATGAAGCACAAGTCAGAGGTGTTTGGAATCTTCAAGAAGTGGAATGTAATGGTGGAGAACGAGACAGATCTGAAGGTGAAGTGTCTGAGATCAGACAATGGTGGGGAATATAAGCTGAAGGAGTTCAAGAGGTTCTGTGCTACGAATGATATTCTCTTAGAGAGGACTACTCCAGGAACGTCGCAGCAGAACAACATTGCAGAGAGGATGAACATGACCTTAACAGAGCGTGCCAGGAGCATGCGATTACATGCAGGTCTGCCTAAGATATTTTGGGCGAATGCGGTACATACGGCAGCTTACCTTATTAATCACGGACCATCAGTTCTATTAGATTTTGGGATTCCAGAGGAGGTTTGGAGTGGCAAGAAGATAGATTTTGGGATTCCAGAGGAGGTTTGGAGTGGCAAGAAGATAAATCTCTCACACTTGTGGGTATTTGGTTGTGTGGCTTATGTTCATATGGTTTGGAGTGGCAAGAAGATAAATCTCTCACACTTGTGGGTATTTGGTTGTGTGGCTTATGTTCATATAAGTGACCATGTTAGGGACAAGCTAGAAGCTAAGTCATAGAAGTGCACATTCATTGGATATGATATTGATGAGTTCCGGTATCGTCTTTGGGATGAGAAGAACATGAAGATCATTAGAAGCAGGGATGTGATATTCAATGAGGAGGTGATGTACAAGAACAGGAAAGATGTCAAGGATAGCCAAAGCAGTGGGAGCAGCATTTCAGATACAGATGGATCTGAGTACATGGATATAGAGGAACTTCCAGATAGGGGTGATGATGTTTGTTCTGATCAGAGAATGGAGAAGGCTCCAGGTACAGAAGAAACTACCCAAGGCATAGAGCTTAGGAGGTCATCCAGGGTACCCAAACCAAATCCCAGATATCTTTCATCTTTTGACTATTTATTATTGACAGATAACGGTGAACCGGAGTGTTATGAAGAAGCAATGCAAGTGAGTGAATCTCAGCAGTGGGAGCATGCGATGCAAGAGGAGACGGATTCTCTACTTGCTAATGAGACATGGGAGTTAGCTCAGCTACTTGCACAGAAAAAGGCCTTACATAACAAATGAGTCTACTGGGTCAAGCAAGAAAGTGATGGAAGTAAGAGATTCAAGGCCAGATTAGTAGTGAAGGCGTTTTAACAGCGGGAAGGAGTGGACTACACAGAGATATTTTCTCCTGTTATAAAACTCACAACCATCAGAGTAGTGTTGAGTTTGGTGGCTGCAGAAGACCTCTTTCTTGAGTAGTTAGATATGAAGACTGTCTTTCTTTATGGTGACTTGGATGAAGAAATCTACATGAAGTAGCCTATTGGTTTCACTAAAAAAAGGAAAGGAAGAGATGGTGTGCAAGCTCAAGAAGAGCTTATATGGTTTGAAACAGGCTTTGAGACAGTGGTATAAGAAGTTTGATAACTTCATGCAGAACAATAACTACAGAACATACAATTTGGATCATTGCTGTTATTTCAAAAGGTTCAAGTCCAGCTTTATTATTTTGTTATTGTATGTTAATGACATGTTAGTAGCAGGACTGTGTTTGGAAGATATAAACAGTTTGAAGAAACAGCTAGCAAAGGAATTTGCAATGAAGGATTTTGGTGCAGCGAAGCAGATTCTAGGGATGCGAATCAGTAAGGATGAAGCTGAAGGGACATTGAGATTGAGCCAAGCTGAATACATTGAGAAGGTACTTTAGAGGTTCAACATGCATAATGCTAAAGTTGTTAGCACACCCATTGGAAGTTAGTTTAAGCTATCTGAGGAGCAATCGCCTAAGACAGATACAGATAGAGAGCATATGAGCAGGGTGCCATATTCTTCGGCCATTGGGAGTCTCATGTACACGATGGTTTGCACGAGGCCAAACATCGCCTATGTAGTAGGAGTTGTGAGCAGATTTGCAAGCAATCCAGGGAAACAACATTGGGAGGCCGTGAAGTGGATAATACGGTACTTGAGAGGGACAACGAATAAGCCATTATGTTTCAGGAGGAAGGAGTTGGTGCTGTAGGGATACGTGGATGCGGACTTCACCGGTGATCATGATACGAGGCGAAGCACCATGGGGGTATGTTTATACCTTAGCGTCGACAGCAGTGAGCTGGGTCTCACGTCTGCAGAAGATTGTGACTTTGTCTACAACCGAGGCTAAGTATGTCGCGGTGACTGAAGCAAGCAATGAGATGATCTGGTTGAACGTGTGCTTGAAAGAGTTGCATCTGAAGCAAGGGAGATGAGTTCTTTATTATGATAGCCAGAACGCTATACATCTTGCCAATAATCCAGTATATCATGTCAGAACGAAGCACATCGACGTCAAATATCATTTTATACGCTCGCTAGTTGAAGACGGAAAGTTGCATTTGATAAAGATTTTGGGGAGTCAAAATCCGGCGGACATGTTGACGAAGGCAGTCACCATTGAGAAACTGGAGTTGTGCGTAATTTCAGTTGGCCTTCATGAGTAGAAGACGAAGGTGGAGCCACACTAGAGGATCGGCACGATCGTCGGGATACTGTTGATTGAAGAAAGAATTTTTTCCGGGGGAGAAGATACATGCAAAGAAGGGGAGAGTTTGGGTGAACTCACTGCATGCACTTTGGTCTCCAAGTGGGAGATTGTTAGTCTAATGTGTAGACCCAAAATCGAGATGAAAGCTAGAATCAAAACGATGAAGAAAACGACCTGATAGATCCACGGTCGACCGCGAGAATCTGGCGGTCGACCACGAATGTGCACAGGAGCTCATGAGGAGCTGGATCCGAAGGCGGTCGACCGCGCCAACCCTGTAGGATTTTTGGTCTCGGGTTTTTGATACGGTCGACCGCGATTAGTGTGCGGTCGACCGCGAGACCTGCACGGTCGACCGTCACGGTCGACCGCGACGTTGTCAAACAGTTTCCTAAACTGTTTTGGATTCTGTTTCTACCAGGACTCTATATATATCTTAAACGTTTTTAGGGTTTGTACAACACGAAAAAGAGAGCTTTTTGATTGCAGAAAGAGAGAGAATCTCAGAGAGATTAAACCCTAGTTTGAGAGCTTGTATTTCTTCTTCAATTAATAAAGAAATTGTGTGGTGTGGCTCCCGAGGACGTAGGCACGTTGCCGAACCTCGTTAAATCTGTGTGTTCGTATCCTTTACTATTTTTGCAAGGTTAGATCTTTATTTGTGATATTGTTCATTCGTTCCTACTTTCAACACAAGGTCCGGAAGGGTAAGGGTTCGATTGATTGTTTCGAATCCCCAACACGCTAAACTCATATTATACTCATCTTTTGTGTAACTTTTTCTATTAGAAAGAACCAATTCTTGAGACTTAAAAATGTTAAATAACATGTATGTTCTTTCTCCTAAACATATGTATTTCCATACACAAAAGCTGTACCTTGCATCTTGAATCATAAATGTACCTACTATAATCTTAACAATTATGTACAAAATCCTTTGTATGTAATCCATTAATCCAAGCAGGGCTGTCGAGATATCTCGTTGTCAATAAATTTTAAAACAATCGTCAGATGCTAAAAAATCCTATTGTCTGATAGTTATTTTCACTAAAAAACGTTTGCTTACTATATGAGGAAGGAACAAGCATTAAAGCTAAGAAAGACATCACGATAAGATCCTTAAAAAGGATTGTTAAGCTTTAAATCTTTTAAAAAAAAGTCTTTAGAACTCTTTTAAAAAGAAGTATTATAATTTGTTGGTTTGTCAATAGTAACAATTTTGAGAAGGCCATTTCTTTAGCATAGGAAGAAAATATAACTCTTGCTTAGATGTTAGAAAGAGAAAACATATACGGTTGATGTGAAATTATTGTATCAGTTTTTTAAACACCCTGTTTGGTTATCAAAGAAAACATACTAGAAAGTGAATATTATTTAAAACTAATATAGTAATGAGAGATAATAAAAAAAATTTCGCTTTCACTTGTATCAAATCATTTTCTAAAATATATTCTGAAAATTTTGAGATAGGGAGCTAAAAAACTGATGTGACACCCTCTCACTCTCCATTTTACTCTCTAATCATTTTTCAATTGCTAAACGATAAAAAGTATATAAAATAAAGTCACTTTGCAATGTTTTTTTTATTTTTATTGATAGTGTCACTTTTCAATTGTTATTTCACTTGCTAGTTTGTTTCGCTGAACACGCCGAGCATATTTCAATAAAATCTAAGCGAAGACAAAATGTACTACGTCTACGTCCCGAAAACATCACAATAAAAGGGAGGTTGAATGACAAATCTTTCAAAGTGGGAGGCGTTATCTACAAAATATTCCTACAAATGTGGGTGTAGTCTGCAATTTTTCCCAATTTCCTGGGTAGGAAGCCAGTTGTTCCTCAATCTTGTATTATATAATAGTAAAATCAACTACATTCAATTAATAAGTTGAACAAAATTATTATTTAAAAAAAAAAATCCCATCTGAATTCTCAAATTCGAATCTCTTCCGTCTCCGTCTCCATCTCTCGGTTTGGTCGGAGCCCGAAAAATCAAACAGAAGTAGTTTAAAAAGAAGGGGAAAAAAAGAGAGAAGAAAAAAATTTAGCATCGAAGAAGAAAAGGAGACCTGAAGGTGATTTGGGTTCCTTGATTTTTCAATTTCTGGTATAATCTGTGTGTCTGGAGTTACTTTACTATAATTAGAACGCTTTTCTTTAGGTTTTTGGGGAAAAAAATTGAAACCCATTTTTAAAAATATTATTTTTCCTTCAAATTTAATCATGGGTTTTTATTTTCATGTCTAGCTCTATAATAATTTATGGGTTTCACCGATTATTGTCAAAAACTATCAAACTGGATTCAAAATGCTTTTTTTTTTGCGATTTAATCTATTTGGTTTAGAATATTAGGTTCTTCCATCTTTGACTGGGATTTAGGACTGCGATCTTTGTTTTGTTATTTACAGGAACAATTAGCTATGTATAATGATCTTTTTGAAACTTGTATAGTCTAGATTGAGTTAATGGGACAAACCCACAGTTCTTGAAATTACAATTTTCGGACTTTGATGTTCTTGGGGGTACTCTCTTAGTTTTCTACTATGCACATTGAGCTGCAGCTTCATAGTGGATAACTATTGTTATAAGCAAAAGCTGTACTGGTTTCAAGTGAAGCAACTTTGCAGTTAGTGCCTTTGTTTATAGATGAATTAGGAAATTAACACTTAATGATTATGAGATGCATGGTATAGTTCATATGCAAGAGATTGCACAATATATGGAAGTATGTAGAGGTGCATGAATCTCCAAGTGTATTATCAGCGCATCTCTGAGAATTTGCATGAATCTCCAAGTGTGTTATATGTAGTGTTCGATTAGTGGTAATTAAGATTTTAAATTGGGTAAAACCCTACTGTAGTTTTTAAAGTTATGTCATATTTATAGACTCAATATTCATGAGTAATATGTGCATTCATTTTTTCTAGCATTTTATTGGCAATGTACATTGGATTATTGTAGCATTGATGTCTGTAAAACTGTGATACCATAAGCAAACTTCTTTCTATGTTTTGCTCCAAGAAGCTTCCTGAAGGTGAAAAAATATTCACATTTTGACATTTCTTTCCTTGTTCTATTCTCCATTTGACCAAAATTTTATTTTGGTAGGATTTTCTGGAGGGCTATTGATGAAATGCAATTGCTTTTGTTGTATTAGTTCCATCTGAGTGTTTCTCCATTGTGTTCCGGAATCCTCTCGCCCCCCTCACACACATACACAAGCGTACATCCATAGGAGTGTACACAACCACAACACTTTTTCATGACCCTGTGAGCTTCTTAAGTTCTACTTTCTCACACTTGTATGTGCACTGATTTTGCGAGGTGAATTTGGTCTTTCCCTTTTTATTTAAAGTGATTATTCTTTTTAAACCTATCAAGATATATAAGCATATACAAACTAGGCATTCTATTATTTTGGTGATTGTCACTAAATTGAAGAAGTATTCAGATAATAAGACACGTTCATTCTGAGCACACAACTTTGACAATCATCATATCCAGTCATTGTTGAGTCCTTACTTATTCTCCCTAAATGCAACAAAACTGATTTGTGATAATCCGACCTTTTTTTTGCTCTCTTACCGTGATTTTTTGATATAATGTATTGTTTGGCTCATCACCTGGTCAATACCAGGTAATCTGTTGCCGCAGTCAGTTTCTTCAAGGGGAATACATACATACATAATTAAATATATATATATAATATATATATATTATATATATATATATATATATATATAATATATATATATATATTATGTATGTATATATATATATACATACATACCATATATGTATATGTATATTGCTATGTATGTATGTATGATACATTGTTTTAATATCCCCGACATGACCCGCGATCATATTCCCCCGATATATCCTTTTACAGGGCTTGCTGCAACCGATATGGTCTTTAAATATCCTTCACCGCTTTTTGGCTATTTTGAGTGATAAATCCCCGATATGACGCATATATTACGCGATATGTGGACCAATATATATGATTTTTATATAGCTTGTTGCAAAATAATATGCCGTGTTTGGAATTTTTAGGCGAGATATCAAGATTTTCCCATTATATCAAATGATATTTTGCCCTACAAAAAACAGATGATGTTGCAACGTTGCTTTGGCACTTTTGTTTGTTTTAGAAGGTTTATTAGTGATCCTAAACATATATTATTCATATTTTGTATGTTTAAATTTCATTACATATGTTGAGATTACATTTTAATGCATTATACTATGTATGCAAACATTCATTTAAATGACATTCCGATATTTACCACATATCCTCGATATTTCCCCCGATATCCGCATCGCGAATGAATTTGGCATCCGATATTTTCCCGATATCCGATATTTAAAAAACCCTGTGTTATATACTATAGTGTATATATATATATGTATAACTATATATATAATATATTACTATGATAGTCATACTATATATATATATATATATATATATATTATATATATATATACAGTGTATATAGTATATGTATGTATGTATATGTATGTATATATATATATATATATATATTATATATATATATATATATATATATATATATTACATTAAAAATACCTATAGGTATCCGCACACAACTTGAGATAAAAGAAGACGAGAACGCAATTATCCAAGTCGAAGCGGGATATGCCGAGGTCAAAGAGGCATCATCTGACATATGACAAGCGCATAAAGCGAATCAGCCGAACCAAGCTGGCGCTGTGCGCTCACCGGCCACCTCCAAGTGGCCGTGCGCTCACCGGCCACCTCCAAGTGGCCCACGTGCTCATCGGCCATCGCCAATTGGCCCACGTGCTCACTGATCAGCTCCAAGTGGTCAACACGCTCACCAGCCACTTTCAAGTGGTCCGCATACTCATCGTCCACCTTCGAGTTAACGAAATGTATGAAGTGAATCAGTGAAGCGTACGAGTCAACGTGACACGCGAAACGGCAAAACGACTCAGCCAGGAGTTGTGTTTCGCCCAAAAGGGGAGAAACACCATGTGTGTCTCGCCCACACCATGAGTGGCTCGGCCATTAGAAGTTGTAGGTCTCTTCATCAGCTTTTTAACGCATCTTGAATCACCTCATTCCGAGATCGGACGAGAGAGTTAGAGCTAAAATACCCGAGATGGTACGAACTGGTTCGCAAGGCTGCGAGCCACCATTTGGTGACTCGCACAAAGAGGTGACATTTAGACTATGAGTGGTTCGGCCATTAGAAGTTGTAGGTATCTTTTCTAGCTTCCAATGCATCTTGAATCACCTCATTCCGAGATTGAAAGAGAGAGTTAGAGCCAAAATATCCGAGATGGTACGAACTGACTCGCAAGGCTGCGAACCACCATTTGGTGGCTCACACAAAGAGGTGACATTTAGACCATGAGTGGCTCGGCTAGTAGAAGTTGTAGGTCTTTTCTCCAGCTTTCCAACGCATCTTGAATCACCTCATTCCGAGATCGGACGAGAGAGTTAGAGCCAAAATACCCGAAGACGTACGAACTGGCTCGCACAGTGCCGAGTCACCATTTGGTGGCTCGCACAAAGAACTAACATTTCAACCATGATGTGATTTGATTCTGGAGAAACTCAAAAGATAAAAGTTTTAGGTCTCTTCGTCAGCTTTCTAACGCATCTTGAATTACCTCATTCGATCGGACGAGAGAGTTAGAGCCAAAATACCCGAGATGGTACGAACTGGCTCGGCCAAGGCCGAGCCACCAATTGGTGACTCGGACCAGGCCGAACCACCATTTGGTGGCCACCAAGTGGTGGTTCGCGTCGGTTCGCACCCGGTTCGGTTCGTTTGAACCCGGTTCGGCAGATTTTGTTCGAAAACACGTTTTGACGGTTTCGACGGGTTTTCACGAGATTTCTTCTGTTCCAGAGGTTCTCAACTGCCTTGATATCATCTCTACACATGGTTAGACGGTTGTCAACTGAGGATAAGGCCAAATCCATCATTCTTATCAGAAAATCCCCCAATCGAAACCTATAAATACAGACCTAGGGGCTCATTTCATAGGCGGAGATCAAGAGGGCGAGGTGCTGTCAAAATTAAGAGTGAAGCCACGAATTTCAGAGGGTTAGCAGATCTTGGCGAAATTTCTCCATAAACAAAAAAAATTTGGAGAGATCTGAAACCTCTTTCCTCCATATTCCTTTGGATTTAAGTTTGGTCTTAAATCCCGAGAAGAGTCGTAATCTCGCTTGGTCGGGATTGCCACTTCAGCGAATACTTTTTTCGTGATGTAGGGGCTTTGATTTTTAATCTGTTAACCGGATCTGATCCGCGATGGTCTACAGATATCAACGTCCTCGGCACAGGCAAAGATCCTACGCAAACAACAGGCGATAAACAGCTGTTGTGTGTTGTTTGAAGGAATTATAATCTTATATTTTCATTGTGTAAGAAGATCTTATACTTTTTTATTTATTTGAGTTTATTATAACGACTAAAGTTGTAATAGATTCGATGATAATGAGAACAACAATTTCTAACCCAAACAATATATATATGGAAAAAATATCCTTAAGGTGACGCCTTAGATAATCATCTAAGGACGCGGTCTAAAATCACATGATTGAGCTACATTGTGGATAATCCGTTCCGTTGAACTTGATCTACATAATCTAAAACCCCAACACACCAAGTTTGGGGGTGAATCCATCGTCGTTTGACCCTCCGTCGAGCTATATGAAAAGTTCTATTCATTCGAAACCGTTAAAATTGATACGAGTGGATAAAGGGTCAAACGACGACGAGTTCACCCCAAACTTGGTGTGTTGGGTTTTAGAATATGTAGATCAATTTTAACGGAGCGGATCATCTATAATGTAGCTTAATGGTGTGATTTTAGGCCACGTCCTTAGATGATTATCTAAGGTGTCACCTTAGGAACACTTCTCCATATATATATATATATATATATATATATATATATATATATACACACACACACACACACACACACTAGTTAGATTACACGTGCAATGCACGTGGTCAGATATCATGGTTATTTAAATTGATAAAAATAGATTAAAAATAAAAGAGAATAAAGTTTTTTGCGGGATTAATTATCAACATAATAATCTCTCTTTCAAATGAAATATTGTCTTCGCTACGTGATCTACTATTTGTGGGTTATAAACACATTGATTTAATATAATATCTTTGTTTATTAGGGGCTGTTTGGTTCGCTATTATAAGGGGTGGAAAACTCAGAAAACCCCTCCACGTCAGGTTTTTAGCCCTCCACGTCAGCTTTTTTGTTTCCGTCCATTTCTTTGTGCCGCTTTGGTTCGCTCGAATGGAAGAGGGAAAACTCTGCTGAAATCGTCGCCAACTAAGATTTTTTTCCCTCTCCGATTTCCTTCCCCAACCAAGTGAAATTGATGAAAACTCTGTCACGTCAGATTTTTTTCCTTCTCTGCTTTTTTTATAAAAGTTTTCCTTTTTTTCTATGCAAATTAAATACAAGAAAAATAAATACATTGGTTTTCCACCATTTTTTATGTGCGAACCAAAGCAAAACAATCTATTTCTTGGAAAAGTTTGAAAAACTCAAAACTTGTGTTTTTTTACATGAAATTGCATTTCTCTATATCAAGGAAACGAACCAAACAGCCCCTTAGTAACTTGAAGTCTTTAAAAGATGGGTGATCATTCAATTCACAAAGGAATTTGGCATATGAATTTACTTGTAATATGTTCATTAAATTTTTAGTTGTGGTTTGACTCATATTCACATTAACTTTTAGTTGTGGTTTCACTCATATTTATATAGCCAATTGATTAAACATATTAAAATTATAATGACCACAGTTAAAATTATATGTTGGGTTTACATTAAATATAATTTATAAAAAATAGTACATTAAAGTCAAAAACCTTTTAACCACTATATAGATTGTTTGAAAATTTTTGCATGTATAAACTATACTGTCTAGGAATAATGATGTGCACACTTAACTATAACCTAATACATCTTAAAAACGACTTACTCTTCAATATCATCATTAATTGATATATCTATGCATTACACTAAAAAATAATGAAAATTTAGAAAACTACAAAAGAAATACCCTCAAAAGTTTTTAAAATTGTAAAAACAAACACCCTAAAATTTTATAATTAACAAATACACAAGACTATTAAAAATTACATTAAAATCAAGGAACTACAAAAAAACATTGAAAAATTGTAAACTTTAGAGGGGTAATTTGCAATGTACTAAACTTTAAGTTTTTTTTTGTAAATTTTAAATCTAATAGATTTTTAATTAGTTATGTTCTTTTAAAAAAAGTTATGGGTAATATTGATCATAAAATTTTTTTCCTAAACTTATATTTTGAAAGGGAGTATGATAATTTTTTATAAATTTTTTATTTTCTAGGGGTTGCTATTGATTTTGTATATTCATTTTAGTGTCTATATGTTAGAAATTCTTATGGTGTTTTTTTATAAATTATGAATATTAGGGGTTTTTTATAATTTTTTAAATTTATAGGCTTTTTCTATAGATTGCAAATTATTTATAGACTATTTATAATTCCTATATTTTTAATTTGCTAATGTGTTTTAAATTCTCAGAGTGCTTTTTGTAAAATTTGAATTTTGATTGTTTGTTTGTAATTTTTGAAACTTTAGGGGTGTTTTCTATATATTATAAATTATGCAGTGGATATTTGTAACTCCTATATTTCTAATATATTGTTATATTAGAAATTATCAGAATTTTTATAAATTTTATAATTTTGAGGGTTTTATCTTGTAATTTGTAACAAGTTTAGAGTTTTATTGCAAATTTCATAAATTTTTAGAGTTATTTGTGTTATTTTTAGGTTTTTATTGTATTTATATGTTTGAAATTTTTAATGTGTTTTTTATAAATTTTAAATTTTAGGAGTGTTTTTGCATTTTTTAAAACTTACAATATACTTTCTACAATGTTAAAAACTTTTATTTTAGTTAGCATATATTTTTCAGATTTTTCACTGAATTAAAATAAGTAAAATTTATAATTTTTAAGATGTTTTAATAAAATTTTAAATTTGTAGGGGTGTTTTTGCGATTTAAAAACTAAGAGGGTATTTTTTACAAGTTCTAGGAATTAAAATTATATTATCCTGTAGCTAAATAAATAAATAAAATTTAAAAATAATAATTTAAATTATTAAGTGCCTAATATTCGTTCATGCGAGAAAGTAAAGTAATCTATGGTCTGTATACTTATATAGTCAATCGATTAAACATATTAAAATTATAATGACCACCGTTAAAATTATATGGTAGGTTCACATTAAATATAATTTATAAAAAATAGTATATTAAAGTCAAAAACCTTTTAACCAACATAATGATTGTTTAAAAGTTTTTGCATGTATAAACTATAGTGCCTAGGAATAGTGATGTGCACACTTAACTATAGCCTAATACATCTTAAGGACGATTTACTCTTTAATATCATCATTAATTGATGTATCTATGCATTACACTAAAAACACTATAAAAATTTAGAAAACTACAAAAGAAATACCCTCAAAAGTTTTTAAAATTGTAAAAACAAACACCCTAAACTTTTATTATTAACAAATACACAAAACTATTAAAAATTACATCAAAATCCAAGAAACTACAAAAAATCATTGAAAATTTTCAAACTTTGGAGGAGTAATTTGCAATGTACTAAACTTTAAGATTTTTTTTGTAAATTTTAAATCTAATAGATTTTTAATTAGTTATGTTCTTTTTAAAAAAATTATGTATAATATTGACCATAAAAAATTTTTCCTAAACCTATACTTTTAAAGTAAGTATGATATTTTTTTGTAATTTTTTTTATTTTCTAAGGTTGCTAGTAATTTTGTATATTCATTTTAGTGTCTATAGGTTAGAAATTCTCATTGTGTTTTTTTATAAATTATGAATAATAGGGGTTTTTTATAATTTTTTAAACTTATAGGTCTTTTCTATATATTGTAAATTGTTTATAGACTATTTATAATTCCTATAGTTTCAATTTACTAATGAATTTGAAATTCTCAAAGTGTTTTTTGTAAAATTTGAATTTTGAGTGTTTTTTGTAAATTTTGAAACTTTAAGGGCATTTTCTATAAATTATAAATTATGCAGGGGATATTTGTAATTCCTATATTTTTAATGTACTGTTAGGTTAGAAATTATCAAAATTTTTATAAATTTTACAGTCTTGAGGGTTTTATCTTGTAATTTGTAAAAAGTTTAGAGTTTTATAAAATTTTAGAGTTTTATCTTGAGGGTATTTTTTACAAGGTCGAAAAACTTTTAGGTGCTGACTAGCATATATTTTTTAGATATCTCTACAAATTGAAATAAGTAAAAGATTTGAATTATATCAAACATATCACCTTTATCCAATAACATGTTAAGTCTCATTATGGATATGATAAATCATTTAATTATAAATTCAAAGAAAATAGGAAAATTAGAATAGATTAGGATAACAATATAAATATATATATATATATATAGTAAATTAAGAACTTTTTAGTTTATGTGTTGGCTTAGAAAATAAGGTGTTCTTTGTAAAAAGAAGTGTTGTAGAATAAATTTTGTGCAGCTTGCCTACATACTACACTCATCCTTACAAGATCGTCAAAGAAAAATGACTAGATATTTAGTGTATCAATCTTGTTGTAAAATTACTAATTTATGCTCCAAAGGAGGTGAGGGAAATGCTTTTTTTTTTACAATTCATCCTATACTGAAGCGATTGGACTTTTTGTTACTTTCCATTCAAACATCTGTTTTGTTAATCAAATATAACTCGTATGTTGTACTACGTAAATTAGTTCTGGTGGTTGTAAACTTACAGACTGGAGGTACATTCACTTAAGTTGCAGTTACACCCTGTTTGTTTTGTGTTTGACAAGATTTTTATCGTAAATCTGGGGGGAATATGACGACTGGCTATGGGACTCCTGTGTTCCCTATTTTATTTCCTTTTTCTTTTCTTTTTTGCATATTCTGCTTTGTAGTCATCGCCCTTCAATGCTAACGCTCTTGCCCGTTATCTCGTCCACATTGCGCCATACATGAAATAATTTCATCCTTCCCACCTGTCTTTTAGCTACATGTACTTTCTTTTGTTTTTCTCTCTACTTTCTAATCATTTCCCTACTTGTTTGTTTTTACCTTCTTTTTTTCTCTTTCATCTATCTTCTTTATTCTTTCTTGATTTCTTCCACTTTTCTTGCCTACATATTCATTTTTATGACTGAGATGGCTGCTGGTGTTCTTGTCTGCTTCTTAGATGGTTAAAAAAAAAAAATAATCCCTAAACCTCTTGATTATATGTCGGAGACAATGGTAAAAACAAGTGAATTGTTTTTATCTTTTTATTTGTTTCTTTT